TAGAGCTTCTCAATATCATGTATTGCTTCTCATTAGCAAATCTTAAGCCATGAACAACACGTAGAGCTTCTCAATATCATGTATTGCTTCTCATTAGCAAATATTAAGCCCAAGCAACACGTATATCTTCTCATGAGCAAACCTTAAGGCCTGAACAATATGTAGCATCTTATTTGCAATACCGGAAATACTTTGGGCATTTTAAAACCTCATTTTAGGTCAGACATATCGTGAAAACTTAAAATCATGTTCCACTGAGCACGCACGAAAAAACCCACGTTACATATAAGAATCTTATTTTGTGTCTAGCATAATGTTTATTTTATTCGTTGCGTATTTATGCAATCTTTATTTTTTTTCTTAAAGTGCAACAAATCTTGTGGTGAAGGATTTCAAACCCGAGCTGTTACCTGTAGAGACAAAAGAGGACAAGTAATTCCGGAATACATGTGTGATGTTTACGCCAGACCTTCAGAGTCCCGGAAGTGTAACGCTAAACAATGCCCGTTTTCTTACCCTGGTTATCGCTGGTATCTCAGCTCTTGGAGTCCGGTACGGTACCGCTATCAACACGGTATCATGTATACATAGTCGCTAAACTAGCGTACACTGGAGATACTCTGGTGCAATTTCAAATTCTTGCATTTTAGGTTTAACGGAAGCATTTACACTGTTGGAAAGTGGTTTTAAAAGTATCATATTTTAGAAGTTGGCTGTTCTGTCATAGAAGTTATTTACGGCAAAACAAAGGGGTTACATGTGGATTTCACAAATAGCTTTAATGAATCTTTCTTTAAAGTCTTTCTTGTTGATTTATGTATTGCGGACTATATAAGCACCTGTTATTATCTGATTGTTTGGACTCTATCTTACAAACACCTGTAATTATCTGACTGTAAGGCATATGATTTTTTTTAGTTTGGAGACCTAACGGAATCGGTTGATAAATTAAGATCTTGCGCGTGTGCAGTTAATTTGACGTTTCGGTTACTATAAGCTTACTTTATGCATTTTTTCCGTTGTTTTGGCCTGTATTAAATTTAAGGGAAGCTTGTTTTATGTTTCAGACTAAGTTCTTAGATGCTTTGTAACATTTTTTGTGAAAATCACAATTTAACTGCGTACCAGTCAAATGTTGTATGACGATTTGGGCACGAGTTTCTGAAAATGTTGTACTTTTGCACTGTAAATCGAGATACTCATCAAATGTTAACAAACTATATGGACATGTGGTCCTGAAAAACTAGATATGCAATGTAATGCAATAAAATATATTTATCACGAGTGCAGGCAGTGTCAGCGCATAACATCGTTACGTTCGCAATGCATTAATTAAGCGATATTTACAAGCGGATCTTAATATACCGTATAGTACATTACTATCTGTTCCTTTGCTTATCAGTATAATAAGCTGTTTCTTTAAGTAACCGTACTAGTTAAACAGTAGTAATAGTAAACATAATAGTAAAGCTTTAACGCCTTTGGAACTCAGTATGAAAACTTGTTACATCTTGAATTGATTATGAATAACAAGAACTTGTCTCTATCATGACTCAATTCGTATATCAGGAAATGCATTTAAATCCCTGTTAATTGCTCTTAAAGTTTAATATCCTTAAATTAAAAATCGTGAACATGACAAGGTAAAGTGACCTTTCATTAATTAAGTTAATTATACTTAATTTTATGATTGAAATAGCTAGTCATTATGAGTATTCACACCAGATTGTGATCATTTTAACACTGTTAGCCTTATGAATAATAGCACCAAAGTTATAACAAAATATTTCTGTACGTAAAAATTATAAATGTTAGTATCTTTCTCTCTCTTTCATCCACGTGTTACCTAAAGAATAACTGCTTTTCAGACAGCGGAAGAATTTCTGTACATCAACCAAAATACTGTTTTATTTATTTACTCATTAAGATATACATATAGATTACATGTAGAAAATAATCTTTTTCTGTATTTTGATGTGTCATTATACTATTGATATTGTTTTAATATACTAATATATATATGTTTGAGTAATGTTGTTTTGCGTGCACGTAAGTTTTCTTTCAAAATAATCTTTTCAATCTGTGGTTAGTCTAATAAATTAATATGAATATCAGATTAGGTGGCTATAACTTTATAAACTATAATTTCTTCCTCTAAACTACATCTATATATTTTATGTCATGCATACTTTTGTTAGAATTGCTATCAGCTACACATGTCGAACATCAAAAATTCAGTGATTAGGAATATAAAAATTAGCAAAATTAAATTTGCTCTGAATTAAATTTAGAATAGTGTTAGACTAAAATCCTGTACAATTTAACTCTGTCATAGAGAAAGTTATTTCGGATATTTGAATGATAATACGTATGATTTTTATAGGGTTTCAGTTCTAAAAATTATAACGCATATTATTAGGAAAGTAATAAAATTACATTTTTGATCAAATGAGAATTACTCTAATTAACTCTAAATTTTCCCATAGGCAAATCCATAGGGAGATCCAGCCAAATAAGTTCGATTTCATATATTCAAATGTAATATCGTAAGGATCTGAATTAGAAGTAATTAAAACTATAGTGAATAACCCTAGAAATGACTATAGGAGATGAGATGTGGAACCCATCGGCTTTTTAAACGATATTCTAAACTATTTGTACAACAACTTACTTGTGGATATATAACTTTGTTGGTTAAAAAACTCCTAATAACATGAGTCATATAAAAATACTTCAGTATTGCAATTAACCCTACTAAATACTGCTGTTTATATTTCATAGGAAAAAAAGAGTGCCTTCGCTCGTTTTTTTGTCCACTCTTTATATTGATTGTTGTAACAAACAGAAACGTAATATTACTCAGCATGATGCAATGTATGAACCCCTACCGGTAGTGACTGAAATAAAAGCAAATCTATAATTTGAATACTAATTAATGAAGCCTGTAATTCCTACAGACGATGGAAAGTGAAGTTTGTGCCCTTAGTATACCGGACTGTGGAGTCGGGTTTCCGTGGTTCGTGTCCTGATACTGGCAAAAACAAATTCGTGCTCACTACTTTAGAGTTACGAGTGTGTTATAAAACGTAATGGTCAAGTCATACTATCTAGTCCGACAAGGGTAGCCGAATAGTTGGCGGTGGGTAATGTTACACTGGCTTAATTTCATCTAGATTATCACTTCAAAATGAAGAACGCCTAGTGCGGAAGATTCTCGTTAAGCTTTGCACAAAATCCAACAAATAGAAGTTTTAAGAGGCCTAAGTTCGAAAAATAACTAGAAGTTACCCACCATATTAACCCATATAACAAATGAGTATTAGCCATGGCAAATGCGATAGTAGAACCTTTAGATATAAACAGAGTGACATGCACCGTATTCTTTACAACATAAGAATGAAACTTTCTTATAAAAGTATTTATAATTTAATCCTAGTATCATACATCTCCACGTCTAAAACAATGTTATTCACTACAGAAGCGTTATAGGCTTTCAACCTGCTTTAGGCCTTCCTATTCGAGTTTCTGTATACTTACCTAAGAGTACCAGGGAACATTTCGTAATATATTTTCCTTTGTTGGTAAGGTAAAGTTGACGATGTCAACAAGCCATGCTTATTATAATTGTTTTTACCTCGCTCAATGTTTCTGTTTACCGGGAAAACGTAAGTTTCTGCTTTTCGAATTTCAATTATATTTTCCGTTCTGCCAGTTTCCCCTTTTGTTAGATGATAAATGTTCTCGATAAATTCTGGCTGTAAATATAAATAGTTGAACTAAAATCTAAATTTTCATCATACTCTGTACACTGGGTAGTGGATAGACACACGAATAGATATGTATTCAGATATCAGTGTTGGTGCCAACCATGTGACCAAAACTAAATGCTGCTTTTGAAATAAAATAGTCTGCATAGGCTAGTACCTGAAAGATTTAGCCGCTGAATGCTGGAACCCGAAGAAACAAATTAAATAGGAAAAGTGGTATTTAGTTGTTATCTCACAGAGTTAACATTTTACAACATGGTAGTTTTGGGGTATTATCTCCTAGGGTTGTATTGAGTTGCTATCTCCTTGGGATAACAGTTTAAAACATGGTGGTATTGAGCTGTTAATCTCCTTGGGATATCATTTTAAAACATGGTGCTTTTGGGGTGTTATCTCCTAGGGTTCAACTTCTAAACATCAATATCTCAGGGGGTATATATTATTATTTGCATATAATTGCAATAGAGGTCTCTGAAAACTATTCTAAGCTGTCTGGATATTGTAAGGATAACAACAACAATTATCTTTTCCTGATTATTAAATACCTCAGTTTTTTGTTGTTGTCAGTTTTGCATTTGTACCTCACTATTATTTTTTCCTAAATCCTTAGACCACCAGCAGCCCGTGTATCATTCTTTCATTCACTCCAGCAATGAATACGTTCGAATACAGGGCTTTCGCAGTCTTCAATATCTAAAATAACACAACTGAGCTCAGCTAAAAAAACAAAAACAAACTCCATTTATCGGGTACAAGACTGATGTGAAACATTAGAAGTCTTAAAAGAATTATTTTATATTCATTGGAAAAATTAGGAAATCATCCCTCACATTCATTGCACGGTCTCTACCATAGTCCAAAGAACATTATGGTGGATACCGTACTCTTTACAACATGGGAACAAAATGTTTTCAAATAACAAAATCTTTTTATGTAATTTAACTGGTAAAGCACCCGAAATTCCCGAGTCACCAGAGTGAGACCCGGCATGGCCAGGTGGTTAGGGCACTCAACTCGCAATCTGCGGGTCGCGGGTTCGAATCCCCGTCCCAACAAACATGCTCGCCCTTTCAGCCGTGGAGGCGTTATACTATGACGGTCAATCCCACTATTCGTTGGTAAAAGAGTAGCCCAAGAGTTGGCGGTGGGTGGTGATTACTAGTTGCCTTCCCTCTAGTCTTACACTGCTAAATTAGAGACAACTAGCGCAGATAGCTCTCGTGTAGCTTTGCGCGAAATTCAAAACAAACAAACAAACACCAGAGTGAAAACAAATTATCAGATGTATCATTTAAGGAACATATATTCATTTAACTGTAAAAAAATAGCTTATTTTTACTATCGAATATATCGTGTGTATACGCTAAATGTTAATAACTATAGTATATCTAGGATCATTTTGCACTTCAAAAAATCCACTGGTTGTTTCTCAATGTCTGAAACTTATTTTTGTATAATGTTCTGTTTATTCTGGATTTGGCTTAAACTTCTTAGCGTGTACAGGTTCTGTTTTCACTAAAAGTTTAGCCAACTATGTTAAGACAACCACTTAAACTCTTCTTTGACAAAGATCGAGAATAACAAAAGTAATTTATTGCGACAGTTCTTTCAAAAGTTGCGGTCAAACACAGGTAGTCGAATAGTTTTATGACATAATGTATTTTGGTAACAGTTATTCAAAGATGTGAAAGTTGGTTTATTTTGAATAAATGACTAATTTGTATGGAATTTGTAGATTTTCTATACCTTGCTTTTTTTTTGCTGTTAATAAGCTGAAACTATAGTATCTTAGTTTTGTTGTATTTTTAAATAAACCTTTAAAGGGATAGATGGTCAAACTTGGGTATAACTAGGCGTTTGCATCGGTGATTAACCACTTTTAGAGAACAAGAGTCTGAAATTGTTAAGTAAAAGTATGTTTTAATATAACTTAAAAATTAAAAACTGAACTTTTATAGTCCGTCTGAATCTTAGTTTCACTTGTATGTCCTTAAATTCATACTGTCTGTGTTTTCTTGCAATATAAAGAAAAATAAATAAAGTGATGTGAAACTACAAGAGGCTTAGTTACTGTTTCAAATGGTCTGTACCACGTAATAATCTTACACATGGAAGCAATTAATAGGGTTTTCATTCGGAAAGATTCAATGCTATATTAAAGTACGTTAAACTTTACATGTACTAATCTTAGGGTGACCTGAACATTATTTTCAATCATTAATCTAGTGCCCAATAATTAAATGGCAACAAGCTGTTAAATCTGGTTGAAAGACATTACATGACCGGTCTAGATCATCGCACTTTCAAGTGTAATGACTCATATTTCTGGAAAATAGAGAAAAAACAAGTACTTTAACCTGCCATCAGGCACGTGCTCCTACAAACTTCAACGATTGGTGCAACAACACTATAGGCGTGACTTCTTGAAATAAATGTGAATTAACGCATGCTCAATTTCTATACCCATAATTCCGTATTGTGATAAAAAAAATGCAAGGGTTTATTCTTTGTAATTTTTACCCATAATTCCCTTCATTCTTATTTTATTCTCCTATGATTCCCTCTTTCTGCAGTGTACTGATTGGCTAAACTGTTTTAAATAATATGTCCATTTGTTAAATCTATGGTAGATGCACAGCTTAGGATGAAATGAGTTTACATTATTCTGCTAGAGAGTACTGGACCTGTGGGCTGTAGTTGAAAGGAGAATATTCGAGGTTAGGTGACGCGAAAAATGAAACTGTTGATTTGGAATCATATATTTTTAATTACAACATTTTTGTTATCAGTCAGCCGTTACTTCTTACACTAAAAAAGTACGTGTATCTGTTTTAGTGCTACAATGAGTAGATATCTGCTTGCCTGTTACATAAACAAACTTTTCTTCCCGATTAAATAGGTCTAAAAACAACGTACTTATATATTTTAGTGTTCTGTGACTTGTGGACAAGGTGTAGTAAGAAGAGAGATAAGGTGCATTGATGGATTAGAACGTTCAGTGTCACATGAGAATTGCAACGGATCAATTCCAGAAAGTATTAAACAATGCATAAAACCAGTTTGTGCAGAGTGGAAGTGGTCGGAATGGACAAAGGTGAGCTTTCGTTTTATTAAGAAAACAGCAGTATTAATAAGAATTATATTTATATATATATATTTATGTTTCTCTGTCTGTGCATACACATATACATGCTAAGCCAGAGCACAAGATTTAGGTTGTTAGCTTATTTTATGGATGATTTTATTTCATTCTTGGTTTAATTTCTCAGTGTTATGTCCTTATTTACAACTTGGTTGTTCGAATTGTCAAAATAAATGGATAGTTTATCGAAGGTATGGAAAAAGAAAGTGCACACGCTCCTCTTTGGGGTAATAAAATTAACGTGTTTAGTTGTTTTTTCTTAATGTGTAGATGAGTAGATAAACATAAAGACGAATATAATACACTTGATCTTTTTTCTTCAGCTACTTACTTATGCAGCTGAAATAAATGTGGGTCAGTGTTTGAACCAGAATGTAGTTCTACATCATGTTCCTGAACCCCTTAGCCCCATTTAAAGGGTTATGGAGATTATCACTTCAAGTACTAGCTCTTGCAATCAGGTAACTGAATAGCTTGAGCTTCTTTAAGCAAACACAAATAAGAGGATACTAATTGGGTCACTAGAGCATAATAACAAGTTCAGAGGGGAAGAAATCTTACCACTGTGTCTGACATCAAAGGACAGAGGTCATATGCAAGATTATTAGAACGTGAAGAATATCAGAACTTGATAAATAAATATCTATATTTTTTACTTTTTATCGAAACAACCAAAATAAATTTTATAAGTTTGACACAGAGAAAAAATAGTTGCAGCAATGAAAACACGCACGTTCTCTATAACTGTATTGTAGATGGTGATATATAATTAAAGAAAAGAATACATCATAAGGAAGGATAGCGCGAATCTTATGCAGCATATCCAAACCTTAGATGAAATACAATTAAATGTAAGTTCATGGAAGAGATGAAAAAAAAATCGCAACCACAATACAAACATCCAACACCAGGGCACAAATCATAAGATGGGTCATCATGTAATGTGCCCTGGTTTTTAGAGGTACTGGGGGAAGTAAGACCCAAATTGCGTTGAAGGTATACCGTCTATCCAGTTTAACCTCAACTTCGCCTGCCTCACATGACTAAGAAAAAACAAATTGAGCAGATGTGGGTGGTGGGACGTTGTGAGCTACAGATGTGGTGGGACGTTGTGAGCTACAGATGTGGTGGGACGTTGTGAGCTAGAGTATTCACATCTGCTCAATTTATTTTTTCTTAATGCTACATATTCATATCCTTTTTTGTTAAAAATTAATTACTAGTCTTAATACAATCAAAACAAAAGATTAAACGTAGGAAAAGAAATTAATGTTTCCTTCAGTCATGTTCCCATTGATCAGCAGTAAGTTTAAGGACTTACAACGCTAAAATCTAGGGTTTGATTCCCGCGATGGACAGAGCGCAGATAGCCCATTGTGTAGCTTTGTTCAAAAACAACTTCCTTCAGTTATATCGTTGAGTACTAGGACCTTCTTCTTTTAGAGTTTTGCCTTTTTTTTTATTGAACGTTTTTTTATTGGAAAATAATTAGCGTTCTGAGAGAATAACTGTAATATATCGAGTATGAAAGTTTAGTTGAGACATTATATTTTTCAGTGCTCTACTAGGTGTGGAGACGGTGTAAGGATACGACATTCAATATGTAAAGAAGGCAATGTCATAGTAGACAGCACCAGATGTGAGGGTGAGAAACCAAAAAAACAATCTCAAAGTTGTTCTCATCGACCGTGTAGCTACGACTGGTCGGTATCACAGTGGTCCCAGGTAATCAAGTTTTGTTTTAAACTTCAGGTATTGCTTAACGAAGTAAATATTTGTTCAGCAATTCTAGCAGTAGAATAAACTGAGCTTTTGGATCTACATTCCTCGGTCTAATGAATGGATTTGATAATATTACTTCACTTTTGTAACAACTAAGTAGTTGTCATGTGAATATATATTTAACCACAAGCTGAGATACACCTCCCTTGTCCGGGTTATGAACTAAAAAAATGTGAGGGTTGATCCTATGATAAATAACACAAAAATCCTAACTTTCACGCAATATATTTATAACATAACCTATTATTACAGTATTCATCACTACCTCACCAAAAGTTTTGTATAAGCTATAACAACTCAATATGTATATACTTAAAGCTTTCAGCACCCAGATCTTAATGTCCTTCTACAGTGTTTTACGTGATTAATTAATTGCCGGTCATTGGCCCCAGAAGTGTCTTACGAGCCGAAGTTGAACGGTCACTGGTCAAATTGGGAAGTGGGTATAACTCAAAAAACAGCTCTTCTTATTACCCTTATTGTGGCTGTTAAAGTAGAAACTTCAGCTGAGTTTATGTATAATATTACTGAAATAGTGGTGGCCATTTTTGTTTCATTGCCTTACTCCATAGAGAGCGCTAGCGTACTGTCTGAGATATATAAGACGTCTGTGGTGTCCCCCACCACTTTGTGTATGTTGTGTTATAGAAAATTTAATAAAGTTTGTGTGTCTGTGCAAGGACGTGGCGCCAACTGTGAATTTAGTTAACGTTAACTTATCTCAAAATAATTAATGCTCAATAACAGCAATAATGGTGGTTGGAAGGGTGAAACCCCCCCCCCTCCCATTAACATATATCCCTTGTTCTCAAACAAACTATCATCTCACAAAGTTTGGTCGAGATTGGCGCAGCGACCTAGGAGTAGTTAAATAACGAACAAACAGACAAACAAAGATTTCTGTGCTTTATATATATATATACAGATTACAAACTAACATGATTAGAATGTACTGCCCATCTTGAATATAGCCTTCAAACTATAACAAAGAAGCCGCAAGTTTCAGTATTTTATTGATCATTACAGATCTTATTTAATAAAATTGTATGGTGTTTCATATTTTGTATAAAGTAATAACATTTTAGTTCTATTTGCCTTCTTTGTTAAATGTCAGGATAGAATGCATGAATTGTTCTAATACTGTTTTTTGATTTATAATAATAAAATGTTATAATTGTTCACAATTAATACCTGAAGTTGTTTGAGCTTGCTTCCTTACCTGCCTACCTACTTACTTAAATGGCAATATTTATATAACCAATAGTTCTACGTTTCCTGATTGATGTATTGCCCAATAGATGGCATTGGATATTCGATAATTGTTATTGTCCACGTTTGTTCACAATTTGTTACAATAAACTGTATTTGTCTAGTGTTCCGTGTCATGTGGTAAAGGTAGCCAACGTAGAGAGATCATGTGTCTTAATGAATCCAAAGAGGTTGTTTCAAGAGATAATTGTGAAGCCCCACCACCAGCTGACGTCAGAGAATGCAACCAGCCTGAATGTGCACAGTGGTCTTGGACCGACTGGTCACAAGTACGAAGTTTTGTAATATTTTATAAGGAAAATAAATACTGAGGCAAACAATTGTTTTAAGCTAAATTTAAAACACCCTAAAAAATAAAAAAAAGAAGAAAAACAAAATTACACAACTTTGGAACCTAAAAATTGCTTTTGGAATTAATAAAAGCTCATGAATAAGAATATTCACAATAATGCATTTATTTTTAGCTTTTAGTGTATGTGTTTAAATTCTAATATTTGATTTCAGTAATAATTTTATATCTGATGTTTCTCCGTTTCTTGACTGACGCTTTTCCAGTCACATAACATTTGGTGTCGAGTGATTTTCAGCTAACTGTAAGAGTTATAACACACTAAAGAAGCTCTGTATTTACCTCACTTTATCAGTCATCCACAACAAGGACTCAGAGTTTAATGACCAGTTTCGTTTAAGAATTGTTCCAATGATTTTAATGACTTCCAAAAACAAATTTTTAAACCCATCATCAGGGCAGCCTGGGAGGCGAGGGGTATAGGGGCATTTTGCCCGGGATCCCTAAAATATAAAGTATTAAAGTATTTTTTAAATTGTCTTGACAATTGGCATTCGGGGAGGTGCCAGCTCACAGGTACTTTGCCCTTGAAATTTATCAACTTGCCGTTGGTTTTATGTGCAAGAGCACCATCATATTTTGATTAGCATTACTGGACATGCTAATCAATTAACTTTCAAAATAATATCATATCGTATATACAAAAGAACACACGTAATATGGAAATTGTTGAAGGGGACTCCATATTGTAAAACTGCATAGGTCATCTCTAACCTTTGGGCAGCCTTGCCTATGGTGTATAACTGCAATCATTTCACATTGTTCTATATAAAGAATTTAATATTAAGCAACATATAAATTACACCTTTTTTTCGGCAATGATGTATTAACCAACCCTAAACTCATGTTTGTCGTGAAACTGATATAACAATTAACCACTTAAGATTATCACACAGATAAAAGCAATGTCTTACAGTTTAATAAATTGTCCTACTTCTACGCTTAGTGTTCTTCCACTTGTGGCCAAGGAAACCAGATTCGCCATCATCGATGTTTACAGTCTAATATTACAGTTAATGACTCGGAATGTGGAGAAAATAGCTCCGAACCGGAAACTCGTTCCTGCTCTAAAAAACCATGCTTTTTCAAATGGGAGAAAGGAAATTGGAGCAAAGTAAGAAACTAGAAGATAAATTTGCCTTTATTTGTCCAAGTTAAGTCCTTTTTTTATTAGGTTATAAATGAAAAAGAAATACGCTTCCAGTAACTTCAAACTATTGATCATACGTCTTTTGTGAAGACGTAACTTCATGTCCTCTGGTTATTGAAATTCTTTTATGATGCATTTCTTATTTATATGATACAAAGTGTTTATACGAGTTGTTTAACAATAACTTGCTCAAATTTTATACATTAGCGCTTATTTAAACTTTTAATCCTTCCTAATAAACAGTCCCTTGGACTTACAACGCTAAAATCCGGAACTCGACTTCCCGCGTTGGACAGAACATGTATAGCCAGTGTGTGGCTTTGCATTAAAAAACAACCAAGTAAAGAATATTTTCTGTTGTTTTCTTGTGGTAGTAGGTAAATCATAATAAACTAAAATTTTGCATTTATGTAAATATAAAATCAAACGAGTAAAATCAAACTATATACCTCATATTCCCATAACTGTTTACTTTGTGTGTAGATGTTTTATCTAAAACTCTAAAGCTTAAGAACGGATGTTTTCCCCACGGTATTCTTCCACAGTTATGTTCCTCACTTCGAGTTTCTTCTTTTTTTCAAGAAGTATCTGTAAGTGCATTCGACACATTTTAATCATGTCTGCTCCGAAATTAATATTCTTTGGATATTAATGAGTTTATTACAATAACATGCGTATAAACGATGTTTTTGTTTAGTTTTGCCACAAGATTGAAGTAAAGTGGGACAGAATTTTATAATATGGAATTTATACCTTTCTATATAAATGTTTAAAGGGGAATACTACTTCGATTAATTATTAAAGCTTGAAATATGTAGTGAATATAAATACATATATTTTAACTCTCTTATAGTTTCGTCGGGCGGTTACTCGTTTAGTCTTTATTTAACTTAAAAGTGTTCTAAATGTACTTAAACGTACTGAACACACATAGTTAAGTTCTTCTAAAGGCCAAACGTGGCTTCATAGTTTAAGTTTCGGGCTGCTGAACTGAAGGTCGAAAACTCAACCCGCAATAAGCCGCCACTGGGTACGCTCCACACTTTCAGCTGTAGGACAGTTGTAATTGAAACAGTAAATTTTTCTTGTCAACATTTCTAGTTAGGGTTGACTATACTACAACTTTAATAGTCTCTGACTTAACCGTTAAGCTCATGTATCGCATAAGGTGCTGTTCAAATTGAGAAAACCAATACTAAACTTAAATAACTTTTGTTTGCGCCCAAATAAACACCAATGACGAAAAACATCGAAATGTTTTCATCATATGCATGCAATCCTTTTCTAGTGTAGTGTTACATGTGGAAAAGGACAAAAACAGCGAGAAATCAGCTGCTTAGATGGCAGTGGTGACGTGGTGGCAGACAAGTTATGTGAATCGAAACGAAAACCTAAAACCACACGAGCATGTAGAAGGGGTCCAGCTTGCCCTTATTCATGGATACCTGATGAATGGACACAGGTCAGTGGTACTCGTGGTCACTAAGAAAATAATAATCTGTTTATACGTCAATTTAGATCAATATGTAAAAACGTTAATATCTCATCTATGTTTTAAAAATATGTAAATAAAAACACGTATGATATTTCCTTTCACATTACCGCATTTACTGACACGGAGACGAATATAGTGACTATTTATACAAAATAATGAAACAAATTTGGAATTTAAAAACCTACAAATAAGGATCGTAAATAAGTAAGCAAGCCCCTATTTTGACTCCACCAAATGTAATTCTAGGTAACAGCATCGAGCTAAAATAGAGGTTTATAATTGGAATAACTAATGTCTACAGTACCTCCAGCCTTGTTTCTTGACTTTTTTAGTATCCCTATTTGCAGGTTTTTAAATTCATAGTTTTTTATTTATCTTGTTTGCTGGCTTTTCATGCTTAACTATGGACAAAGAATTACTTGATATGGTAGCTAACTCTGTACATAGCAATGATAATAAACATAGCTAGTAGCTAGCAGATACGGTTCATGATGGTTTACTGTAACTATTGACTATTTGATCGCATTAGTTCGAAATGTAAAATGTTAAGCTGCATCTGCAGATTGCCATGGATATTTGTTTGATAACATAGTGAGCATTTATAGTTTCTGTGTAATTGAATTATCTATATATAATGCATATCAATAGACAAATATATGCCTAGACTAAGACACAACTCCCACTAAGTGCATATACATTTTACCAGTAGAAAAGCAGCCTTCTCAACTAAAACATATACATCTAGAACATCGTTTTAGATAAACCTTCGGGTCTTTTAAGGTAATTATTCTACGAATGTGTGAAATGAAACTTCATATTATGTGAATTGATTTTTTTTACTCCTTCACTTCATACATAATATAGGGGTTGGCTCCCTAAAGACACTGACTGTGTAGTGTACAAAGCATTGAGTATCAATATATTACAGTCATCTGATGTCCATCCAGTATTGGCTGGTAATTTCTGTTTCACACCATGTACTTAAGCTTTTTAAAGAAACACTAAATATCCGTAAGAAGGCTAACTTCAAGGGATAATGATAACATCGTTTACACTAGTATTATGATGTTTTTTAGCTTATGTAAAATATAGAAGAAACAAATCGACTTTCCAATATCCCTACGACCTTCACAGTACATTATCCAGTATTCTATAAAAGTTTTGGGTGCAATATACGAAGCCGTTTTTATTGTAGGCTGGCAAGATAATAATGATAAGAATTAAAACGGGACGTTTTGAGAGGATTTTCTTTTCCTAGTAACTCTAACACACGTGGTTTTTTGTGCATTTTTATATGTGTACAGCATTAGCATTCAATAGTAAAATAGTAAAAATGTTGTTTAAACTGAATCTTTACTCTTTAAGGACTTTTTGCCCGAGCGTTCTATTAGGGTTTAGGGGAGTTCCTTGCGATCCCTATAACGAACCATTATCGGGTTTCATGATAACTTAGCGGCTACTATTATAAAGCCCCCCCCCCCCACCTCAGTGACACAGCGGTATGTCTGTGGACTTATAACGCTAGAAACCGGATTTCGATACCCGTGAAGGGCAGAGCACAGATAGCACTTTGTGTAGCTTTGTGCATAATTACAAACAAACAAACCTATTATAAAGCTTGTTAAACCGTGAAATAAAAATTATTAATTTTTTAAATATCCAAACATATTCTTAAGCCACTACCAACATTAGAGGGAGGTTCAAAGAGTGCACTGCATAAGAACCTCAAAAACTTTCTATGTTATATTATAATATATTATAGAATTGTTGTGTTTGATCAGTTCTATGCTTCATTTTTTCAACATTTTTATGTTTCTTATAAAACTGAACTAAGATTTAAAGGGCAGCATTATAAATCTCTGTGCCATAGTCATAGAAAACTAGGCCTGTATTAAGTGTAGGTGTTTATAGATGTGAACTTCTGTAGTCCGTGAAAGAACATTTAACACTCTTAAGATAAGGCTTCTTCCAAATAATATTAGCAATGTATTTTTATAAATGAAAACTATCTGGTTATATTTTATGACAACGCATTATTATTTTCAATTATTTGTAACTTAATTCCGGCTACTGAAAAATATCATTAATAAGAAAGATGTATTTGAAACTATTTTATAAAATCAACGTTAACATTTCATGGTGTTGTAGAAAGACAATATAATATCTAGACTTTAAGAGTTTGATGGTTTGTTAATCATTGTGTGATATTGTATTACAGTAAAAAATATAAGACAAAAAGTTTAATATTTGCAATTTTCTCTTTAAATTGTTTTGTATAAAACCATCTTATAGTCATTAAACTTCAATCTAATATGTGTGATAATACATTACATTAGGCTACAGATGTTTCCAATCATTCAATTCTTTGCCAAATGAATTAAGCTATCTGCCAAAAGCGTGCACAATTAACTTTTTACTTTAATTAAACATGCACAACCATAACTTAGATAGAGTATCCTCAGTAGTTTTTACCTTTTTACTGGTCCATGTTTTATTTTTTTATGGTTGTTTAATCTCCTAGTATTAATACGAATGTATTATAATCGTGACTAATTTTGTTTACATAAAACAATTGCTCCAGCGTGTAAGCGATAAAAAAAGATTTCTGCAAAATAGCTGTTTTGTAACGATTGTACTTTATTAAAATATTGTTTTTAAATATTCCCCCAAAATCCTAAACTTCTTGATTCCGTTACTCTTGATACAATCATTTGTTTTATTTGAGGATTTGAAAGTGGACCAGCGAAGTAGCCACGGGGAATTAAATTTGAAAAACCTTTCAAGTTGAAAATATTGAAATATTTTGATTTTTAACTCTAAAATGTCCTGTTATTTTAAAGAATAAACAGACGGCATTCGAAACAATTTTGGTTAATTAATTTGTTTTTCAAACTTTTAAGTGCGTTTTTATCTTTGTTTTCGACACATTTACTTATACCAGGAAAATAACTTGAAAAAGTTAAGCACAGTGTAATTTGATATAAAGGATATCTTATTCAAAATAGGTTTAGATAACCGATAACCTATGTTAATTATTTTGCTTTATATTAATATAGTGTTCGAGCTCGTGCGGACCAGGCGTACAAATGCGAAGAGCTCACTGCTTTCGAGTGAATGCTTACGGTTGGATAGACCCTAACCCATTACAAGAACCACTTGACAACAATGACACATGGTGTGACCGCAAGAAGCGCCCTCAAGGAGTTAGAATCTGCAACTTAGGCGACTGTGAAAATGGAGCTGTGTGGAAACCCTGGCCATGGAAATATGTAAGTTTATAGTTTAACTGGTTAGAAATTTTAGGTACACCACTGAGGCCTTAAGCTGTAAAAAATACCTACATAAATTTTTCAAGTTAAAAACTTTCCAAGATATCAAGAGCGTCGTCATTATAAAATAAAAATATTTGAAAAGTTAACTTGTGTTTCTAGAAAATTGTTTCCTCCTAACATATGCATTGTTAAGTACAAAGGAGAGAACTTTCAAGGTGAGAAGATATTTAAATACAAACATTTTCAGGATGTTCAAACTATTGAGTCTAAGCATCAAGGAATTAGTAATTGTTTTTTTTTTGCATTTTTTTGGTGTTCTACAAACAACAATGTTATAGTTATCTGTGTAAATGGAGAACGTGTCTCAGACTTTTATCGCTAAATCTTTAACAGACTGTCAACCAAGAACTGGCCATATCAGTTCTCTCTTAATGGTATTTGATATATAATTTCATCAAAATTTGTGATATACATTATTGTGGATTACTGTTGTACACAGAATTGTCATTCGTTTACATGGATTTAGATTATATGCGATGAAAACCCTGAAGTAAGAGTAGGCAAAGTCCTAAACACTGTAACGCTTAATTGTTAAAGCATTTTTCCTGTGAAACCTTTGTTGTTGTTGTTGAATAACTTTAATGAGTAAACTTTCAGTGTTCAAAGTCATGTGGTGTGGGAAAACAAAGGCGTCGAGTTGCTTGTTATAACCTGGAAGGAAAACGAATCGGAAGAAGAAACTGTGACCTCTCTTTGCGCCCAAAGACCAAACGCAAGTGTACTATGAGACCATGTAAGTTTGTTTTAAGTAATATTTTTATTGAATTTGAAATAAAACTTATATTGCCCAAAGGTCGCCAATATATATCGTAGTACATCTTTTAAACTCGTTTTATAATTGATACTTTTACTATAGCACTGGCTAAAATTCGGTATAGCCATCACGAGTAACATTAAACAATATACAAAATTGTACTGAGAATGTCTACCAGGAGAACGAAAGCAGATCCATTACTCACTTCGTATTTGTCAAAAATGTACGATGCAACTAAACACGTACAATACACAAAAAATATGTAAATTTACTGATGGTTCACTGATTAAAGGATTAATTTATTGATACTTCGTATGAGATTAAGTTTCTGAATGGAATCCCAACTGTTAATTCAGGTGATGGAGCACAACGCTTGAAGTGACAAACTACTACCTTAGGCAACTCATTTGTTATAACATTAGTTGTAAGCAGCCTTTCCAAATAGGAATAGGAGATAGAGATGACAATCGTGCAGAGATCTGTGTTTATATACCTTTCACACAAAAGAAACAAATTACCCATGTAATTAACGTGAAGACTGCATGTAGTTAGTTTTTATTTGTATTTATTTTGATATCATTACGACGAATATTTCATGATTGCGACTAAACCCATAGTAACGTAAGGACTTAATTCTTTTTGAAAAACAACCGTCGTAACTGTAAGATCTCTTCGGGTCTTTCGCTTATTGTTTATTTGACCATTTGAGCAAAGTCAAAAACTAAAAAATGTTGTAATATTCAAATTTCCAAACAATATACTTAAGCTTATTTAAGACAAATGTTTATAAAGAGAGTCATACTCTTAATATTTTTATGTTGTTTATGAGAACGTCAATGATGGTGTTTACGTTGTACTAAATCAGATATTCTTTCTCTGCTACCATGTAGAGAAATATAAGCTTTGTTTTCTCATAACATTCAAAAGCCTCCTCAAGTGATATCATGGTAAACTAAGAACAATCGTGAATCACTTTGAGATGTATAAAAGTCATCACATATTTAGCTAACCCGGACCAAATTATTTTCTAATAATGGTGAATTTTTTATAATATATAAATTCATCCTGTTTAAATTAGTTTTAAGCTTTCATTTAGATCATTTTTCTGTGCTTAGAACTTTAAAACAATCTTATGATGGAAATAAGTTCAATATTTTACAGGTAAAGCAGTTAGCTGTAAAGATGTCCAAGAACGAACAGGGATAAGAGAAGATGGAGAGAAAGATTTGTATGTACGTGGGAAGACACTCAAGATATATTGCGCTAACATGAACACATCCGACCCTCTGGAATATGTGTCGCTACCTAGTGGAGATAGCAACAATTATTCTGAAATGTATGATAAAAGGTTTGTAGGTGTGCTGAGCAAGCTTTGCGTTAATAAAATATTGGGTATACAACAAAAATTTGCTTCATCAAATACAACTAGTAATTTCTAACCTGGTAAATTCGGTTTGAAATTAAAAACATAAAAACAACTTCTTTTAATGCACAATAAAACGTATCTGCTGTGGACAGCACAAGTTTGCTGTAATTAAAATTTCAACTCTGTTTTATTTTTGCTGCAGTATACTTTCTTTTCCGAAAGAGAAAATATTAAGAAGTAAATTCTATAGCAACGTTTATTAACCTGTATCACTCGAAATTTATTTATTACATCTCTTTTATTTGCAGCGGATGTAAGGTTACACAAGTTATTAAATTCTACTAAGAGAAGATTAACCATCATAAGAGGCCACCTAACAAATGTGCTAGTTTATTTTTGGGAATTAATAACAAGCTAAAGAGAAGATTAACCATCATAAGTGGCCACCTAACAAATGTGTTAGTTTATTTTTGGGAATTAATAACAAGCTAAAGAGAAGATTAACCATCATAAGTGGCCACCTAACAAATGTGTTAGTTTATTTTTGGGAATTAATAACAAGCTAAAGAGAAGATTAACCATCATAAGTGGCCACCTAACAAATGTGTTAGTTTATTTTTGGGAATTAATAACAAGCTAAAGAGAAGATTAATTCAATCTTATGAATGAATATACATGTATAGTCAGTGTTCCAACATAATTTAAGCCCCAAAGCGTTGCTTTTCAAAATTCTAACGTATTTGCTCTTTATTTTTTGAGTGATACTTGAGTATTAATAATTTAACACAATTTGAAACGTATTTTATAAGATCTAGGATAAACGTATTTTATAAGATCTAGGATAAACGTATTTTGTTTTTAGTTTGATATTGTGTCTGCAGATTAATAAGTCCCGGCACATGTCCCTACGACGGAATTCGTCACAGTTCTTGCCCGTGTGTGACTGAGCGCAGGCTAGGATCAGGACTGACAATGTTCAGCAAGTTGGCAATAAACATCACAACTCTTCAGGTCCTCAGTAAGTTGAATATTCTTCAGAAACAATGTCAACATCTGTAGTGCTACTATGAAAATTATATAATCAGTCATCAGTCTTTTTATTTGTGTTTAAAGGCACCCCAATTCCTATTTGTTGGGCTAATTTGAAATTAAAAGGGATAACAATCCTTCGTGAATTATTATTATAACAATAACAAGATTTATCACTGTAATTAAGAATGTGTACCATTCAGAATAATATAATCTCAGACATAAATATCTTTAAAAAGAAAACGTTCTTACAAAAACTTGTTTTGCTCTATTAATCATTTGATTAAGGTAAAATATACCTTTAAAAGGTATGGTATGTATAGCATGAACAATCCATATTTTTATAAACATGGTAATCATTATGCACTACATATGTATTTGTGTGTATGTATGTGGGTTGTTTACACCATAAATTATACCTTCTTATAGTTTTAGATTAAAAGCTGTTTCTTTGTTATATTTATTTCCCATTATTTTGGCTTGAAATATCAACCCGTTATCGATCTGTCGAAAATATGAACCTCTAGTTTCTTATCGGAGTGTCTCTAATTTTCTCATTGGGTTATGGTGACTACTATGTGAAATCACTGACCTGAGAGTCACGTTGGAATATTGAACTGGACCATGATTTGAAATGCACTTTAAAAAAATTGAACTGGACTATAGCGATCGCCAAGTTGACCTCTTTTTTTTTTTAAGTTGCCAGCCGTAAGTCACGTGGGAAGATATAATTGTCTCAAACTAAGTTTGTTTGCTTCTGGTTGACGCCATTTTCAGAGGTAACGTCACTCAAAGGGTAAGGTTGAGATCTTGGAAGGAGTTTCTATCTCAAGTTTGAAAGTACTAATACACCCTGAGAACAGCTGCTAAACTGCAATTTTGATTATGTCTTCATGTCTATGTTTTATTTTGCTCAGTTATATTTTAATTTATTTTCAAATTTATCTTTTCTTCAACTTGTTTATCTACGTTTGAGTTTACTTAATATACGATATTCCTTATTTTATTGGTTTCACGTTTCCTGTATACTTTTGTGGCCTGCAGGTGCTTTCGTCATATGAAACCCAATTCTTTTGTCCTACACTTTACGTATTATCAGTCAAATCATCGAACCTGTTGTCGCGGATCAAACTCATCTGTGTAGTTTTAGTCCTAAAATGTTTCATCACATATCAGCATTTCTGTTACCTTTATGATATTTCCTTATCCTAAGGTATATTATTTATAATTTGGTGTTCCATTTATTATACTAATAAGGTAACTGAAACTACTGGTTTCTTTTAGATAAATGTATGGTTACATTTTTCTGTCGACTGTGAGATGGCCATTTGTTAACAAAAATGTAGTTTATTTTTTTGAATGATTTCACCTTCAGTAAGACCTCACAAGGTCATAGAGTAAGGTATGGAGAGGCTGGGGATTGTTATTTTACTTCTTTTTTTTTCTACACAACAGCTGATGATTTCACCTTCAGTAAGACCTCACAAGGTCATAGAGTAAGGTATGGAGAGGCTGGGGATTGTTACAGTCTCAACTCGTGTCCGCAAGGTCGTTTTGCTATCAATTTGGAAGGTACAGGTTTCATCGTGTCGGATGCTACTCAATGGAAAAAATATGGTACCAGGCCTTCTGCCAGATTATACATGTTACAGGTAAGAAGCGCCATCATGTGGCAACAATGATTAAGATACTAGAGGCAAGAATTATTTCAGAACTATTAGCATGATTATGGGTTAATTTTATTTGTATTTTTTGCATTAATTGAGGTTTTGCTAAATTCGTATTATTCGCTTTAAGATAAGGTAAATTCAGACAAAAAAAACGTTGGTTATCTCATCATTCACAGAACGAGTTAATCTCATCAACAGTGACTTTTGACTGTTTAATAGACTTCAAAGTACGAAATGAAAACAAATAAATTCTAAATTATTGTACTGTCGTGTTAAATATCAAGCATTTCGGGTTAAAATTTTAACTTGAGGAATTTGTGATTTAGCGTGCAATGTACAATGTTAACACGGAAGCCATAGCAACTTTAAATATGTCGCGATTATTTGTATAATACCGAAGCTACCTTTAGATGGACTGCTATTTAAGCTAAAGGTTCATAAGGCTTTTGGCTTATGATGTAAAACACGATTCCTTCATGGGTTATAAATACCACAATAATAATAAAATTACCTTTAAAAAGATTTAATTTGAAGAAGCGTTTTACAATAGTCAAACTATAGTTGAAGTGGTAGGGAGATTTCTTACAGGAAGGTCACGTTCGTCTGCAGTTAAGTATTTAGAGAAGTTTCAGACAATTAAATTTAAAAAGTTATAGTCATGATATAATTACATTAACTCTGACTATTTTAAGTCATCCCCTTGTTTATATGTGATCTAAGTATTTTGTCATTTGGGCTGTGTGCAACTAGTGTTTGGCATGACAAGACTGTGAACCCGAGAGTTTAAAATTCGCGTCCCAGTATCGGAAAAATGGGCTCCGAAATTTGGGTCCGTGGATGAGCTAAAAGGGTGTTGGCCAAATCAAAACAAGAGTTTGAGGTGATTGCTGTTGACTATCAGTTCAAAATTAAGAAGGCCTATGCGCAGTTGGCCCTTTGTATAGTACTATGCGAAAATTCTAAAACAACCCTTTTTCAATCATTATATCCTATTCACTTGAATAATAGTAGTTATTCCCCCCCCCCCACACTTGAGCGCCCAAAGTGGGGGTTGCCAGGTGAGAAGCTATCAAAGAATGCCTCCTGAGTATTACGCAACTATACGCAATATACACCTGACCATTACCAAATAATTACGTAATATACACTCGAGTGTTACATAAATTATTGTGTAATATACTGCCAGCAGAGGGTGCGTTGCTAGGCCGCCATGACGGATGGTGACGTAATAGTTTCATTTAGTGAGGCCAGCACAAATTGGATCAACATGTCTCAACATTACTATAATTAATACAGTCAGTATAAAATATTAATTTATTAGTTAATTACATTTCCTGACCATTTATATTTAAATCGTCCTGAAAAAGGACGCTTATTTAAATATCATGCAATAACTAAAATTTACACCTTCATTAGTTTGACTTTATGATACCAGCATAACCTTACAAAATATTTCATTATACACATGATACTTATAGCTTTATCTTACACGAGGTTTACAAGGGTGGACACTATACACAGCGTGGTCACAAGTAAATAGACACCACCTTTTC